GTCAGGAACAGCGTGGGGAGTAGGGCCCGAGAGGTGATTGTCCCCCTGTACTGGGCCCTGGTGAGGCCCCACCTCAAGGCCTGCATCCAGTTTTGGGCCCTTTCCCACAAAAAAGACATCGAGGTGCTGGAGCGGGTCCAGAGAAATGGCGACAAAGCTGGTGAGGGGTCTGGAGAATAAGTCTGATGAGGAGAGGCTGAGGGAGCTGGGGGTGTTCAGCCTGGAGAAGAGGAGGCTGAGGGGAGACCTTCTTGCTCTCTCCAACTCCCTGAAAGGAGGGTGTAGAGAGGTGGGGGTCGGTCTCTTTTCTCAAGTCACAGGCCATGGGACAAGAGGAGATGGCCTCAAGTTGCCCCAGGGGAGGTTCAGGCTGGATATTAGGAAACATTTTTTCCCTGAAAGGGTTCTCAGCCCTTGGACTGGGCTGCCCAGGGAGGTGGTTGAGGCCCCATCCCTGGAGGTGTTCAAAAGCCGGGTTGATGTAGTGCTGGGAGGTCTGGTTTAGTGATGATGCTCCTTATTTGTTGTGTGGGTGACTATTTTTGTCAGTCAGGTTGATGGTTGGACAAGATGATCTTGAAGGTCCCTTCCAACCTAGAAGATTCTGGGATTCTGTGATCTACCAGCACCTGCAGGGCCTGAGGTCTCACTGAATTTTCACTGAATTTTTTTAGAGTTGGAAGGGACTATCCAGTCCAACTCCCCTGCTGAAGCAAAATTGCCCAGAGCATGTTACTCAGAAGCATCCAGGAAGGTCTTGAAGGTCTCCAGAGAAGGGGACTCCACTCTGTGTTTTACTTTAGAGGGGCTGTAAGAGCCTGTTTCCTCTAACACCTGGGTCAGACGGGGTGTGCAGGGCAAAAATCACCTGCCCTGCACGATTTTTGCTCCAATTCACCTTGGAATGGGCCCAACAGTGTGTGTGAAGTTGCCCGTGGCTAGTGGGGCTCTGGCAGAGGTTGCCCCCCCTGTGTGTGGGCAGGAGAGAGTTGGGGAGCCCTTGGACCTTCTCCTTTACCTGTGAACTGGGCGCTGAGGACCTGGGGGTTGTGGATGATGTCCTTCCAGAGCTGCTCGAACTCGGGGATCCTGGCCACGTTCTGCAGCAGCCGCACGAGGTCCCGGCCGATCATGAAACAGTCCATGAACTGGGGAAAGGAGAGGGGGGGGAATAAATCTAATTTACATTTACCTGGTCCTCAGCAGGAGGAGGGGGAGAAGGTA